TGTTGTTAATGACACATTAACCATTTTGGTGATAAAAGGGAGCAAAACATCCAGACAATCGATAATTAATGAAGTAGGCATTGAATCCGATTTACAACAAACAAACAAACAAACAAAAAATTTATTCACACTAGAAGTTACAATACGAGCATACATAGAGTTTGAGCAAACAACAATAATAGTGACAGGAAACCTGAAATAACTTTCAAGCTAAACTAGTCAGGTTTCCTATAATATTTGAATATAAAATTTAGAGGAGGAATTTAAACAAGGTGTAGCTACACTACGTAACTCACACACAAAAGGAAAGCATGCAACTACAAGAATCAAATTAAAGAAAGAAAAAAAACGATGCAGATCAAGTTGTTTCATATAATTTAAGATAAGATTCCTTTAACTGTCTCTTAAATCGAAAAAAAGTAAGAGACTTCAAGGAATCTTCAATGCCATTCCAGACTTTCGATCCAAAATATCTAATATTAAATTTACCAAAATTAGTTCTTATTTTTGGAAGGTGAAAAGTAGATTTCAAAGCAAGTCGGGTACTGTAATCGTGCATACTATTAGTAGTTGTGAAAAAAGAATCAAAAGCGTTAGGTAACATACCCTGTACATATTGATACATAAAAATTGCAATATATAACTTAATTATTTCATTTATTTTTAGTAGTTTTAATTTATGAAATATAGGATTAGTATGTGCGTCAAATTTAGAAAAAGTCATAATACAAATAATCTTTTTCTGTAAGAGAACAATAGGCTGAATATTCGTATTATAAATCATACCCCACACCGTACAGCCAAATATAAGGAAAGGATATATAATAGAATAATATAACTTGATTAGAATTTTGGTTGTTACAAAGTGACGGACTTTGCATACACCTGTACCTCTAGACAGCTTTTTACAAATACTTGAAATATGATCCTTCCAATTTAAGTGGCAATCTAACATAACTCCTAGATATTTAACACTCCTAACATGCTTTATTAATTTATTATTAATTAACTTCATAGAGTAGTTAATCTTTCTTTGATGAGGTTTAAAAATTACAAAATTAGTTTTTTCAATATTTAATGATAGCTTATTTGAACATAACCATGTATTTATGTTACTTAGCTCATGATTTATGATACTTTCCATTGTTTGTAAATTTTTATGGGAAAAAAAAAGATTTGTATCATCCGCAAAAAGATGAAAATCAACCACAGTTGACGATCCACTTAAGTCATTAATGTATATAAGAAACAACAATGGTCCAAGAACTGAACCTTGTGGAACACCACATGTGATTGATTGGTAATTAGAGGTCTCATCGCCTATTTTAACAAATTGCTTTCTTTTACTTAAAAAAGAACAAAACCATTTTCCAGCAATCCCCCTGATTCCGTAATATTCAAGTTTAGCAAGGAGGATGCCATGATCAACAGTATCAAAGGCTTTTCTTAGGTCCAGAAAAATACCACAAGCATAACATTTATCCTCAATAGCCATTTTAATTTTATCAGTTATAATCATAACAGCTTGTGTAGCAGTACGAGAAGATCTAAATCCAAACTGATTGTCACTTAATATTTTAAATTTCCCCAGGTATTCTATTAGCCTATTATACATAAGTTTTTCAAGAATTTTATCAAAAATAGAAAGAAGTGAAATTGGTCTAAAATTGCACATATCCAAATGAGAACCATTTTTATAAATAGGAATGACCCTACTGACTTTTAATTTGTCTGGCACAACTCCTGTTTCAAATGAACAATTAAACAGAATATTCAGAGGGACGCTGAGAAGTGATTTTAAGCATACAATTAATTTAGTGGGAATACTGTATGGGCCAGTAACTTTATTCGGATTTAAATTACCAATTATTTGTTCAATTTCCACTGAATTAGTGGAATTCAGATAAAAACTGTTCAATTGTGGATTACGTGCATTGGACAAGAAATTATGAAATGACGTATTCACGGTAGGAATGTTCGCTGCCAAATTTGGACCAACAGTAGAAAAATAGTTGTTAAGAGCGAGTGTCCGTAAATCTCGAGAATCGGACGACAAATTGGAAAATTCGAAATTCCATTTATTTTACCTATAGTATCCACTGGGTGAGCTATTTTAAAAAATATAGTTCAAAAGTCGCAGCTCCTCTTATTTTTCGAGAAATTACTAAACATGATTTTGGGGCTTTTAAGTCCATTTTCATTGGTCAAAATACAAGATTTTGAAGCATTCGTGACGGCTACCTTTTAAATGTATTACGGCCGGTTTTTTTAATATAATCGAAGTACATCTCTATATTTTGTTTTACTAGCAAAATTTTTTTTGATTACGAAGTCTTTCTTGACATTTAAAAGTAGCAAATATATGGTTTTTACGGCTCACAACAGAAAGGCCATTTTTTGTCAATTTCAATGTGCCCAAATGAACCGTGGTACATGACAAATTGCAATGAAAATAAGACTAACTTGCAAAGTAGCCATCTGTTTATAACATATTAAAAAATCTCTGGCGGCAAGCAAAACCCGCACCAGTGAGAAGTCAAAATGTTGATGCTATTTTTAGATGTCGGTGCATCATAATTGTACATTACACCGGTAATTACATGCAGTGACAATGTGACAGTTTTGTCGCATTTCAAAGATGCAGCGCAGAGTAAGGAATACAACAACAATATTACTGTTGGAGAAAGTTAAAAATAGTACATTATTGTTTTAAGTGATGAAAATGTTTTTAAATCAAATTAAAGAGGTGTTTTATCAAAGATCAATCAATTATGACACAAATGCGTCACTATATAACACTGTTATTATTTAGTAAATTCCTTGAGCATATATTCTATACAATAAATAACAATTCATATATTAAATACTTTAATAAAAAACAATTAATAACAAACGACAAGCAAAGACTTGTATAAATGACAGTAAAACTAGAAATCAAGCGAAATATAAGCACAAACGAGACATTAATTGTCCCTATATGCGTGCAAGGTATACAAATATATAAAAAATATAAACGGACGTGCCAGTTAAATATCGTGCACAATAATCAACCCGGTCCAGAATAATTTTGTTGATGCAAACGAAATTAACAAAAGCAGAAAAAGGGGAAAACTTAAAATTTTAAAATTTAGAAGTTGCTTTGGGCAATCTGAGTGAGCGAACGATTATAGCATACCAGACATTTTAATCTTTAACTTTGTAAACAATTACATTATGACATACTTTTGGACTTAAAGAAATATTCAGTAATATATAACATGCAAACAAGAAGGAAACTGTAGGATGGCATCGTGTTACTATGCAACACTAGTTTGGCGGTCAGTGTGGACCTAGTTCGTACAATCCTTCTATTGTAGAATGCGTAACAATCAAGGATTGTAATAAGGACATTTTAAACCATTGCTCACAATATAAAATTAGTAACGATTGTGGCCTGTCTGGAAGTGAATCAATGTTACTTCTTGGTCGTGCAGGTAACGTCACCGAATTTAATGTTTATTTTTCATTCTTTGACTTTGTTGACTTACTGTTTGCAAATTTTAAAGATTGTAACTAAAACGTATCGGTATTCTTTAGGAATTTTTGAAATCGACGAGTCATACATGAAGATGACAGTGTGTCCTTTACATCGAGATTTGTATGGCATTCGCTGGAGGTGCAACAAGACCAGATGCTCAATTCGAAATGACCTTGCAGCACATAAATCTTTATCCGTCAAAGCTCAATGTGGACTGACAACTTTATTATCATCTTTTATTTTTAACAAGACCAAGATATTTATTCCTGTGGGAACAGGTACGAGGTTAATTTATTCAAGTACATCTATTTCCTGCGTATAAGGTCGGCAGGAAACGTGAGAGAAGTATGAGGATATTTTACTATGCATGCACAAGTAGTGCAGGTTTTGTTTTTAACTGAATTTCCACGTTTTTTGTAGAATGAAGAATTTACTTATACTAAACTTTTAGCAGCAATGCCTTTATTTTACAGGATATACAGTATAATGTATACGTTAACTTTTTGCTTGTTTTAGGGATATGCAGGAGCTGTAAAGAACATTTAGCTCATCTGGCAACAGAATGGAGAACTAGTAATTTAGTGTCAACTGACGACGAATCAAGTAACTGCTTAGAATTATCAACATCTCTGCCGCAGATTAACGCAGAACAGCCGGTAATAAGAAACAATTTTAACTTTATCACGAGCCATGATCCATGCACTACATTTTAACAGCTTCTATTCTTTATTAGGAAGACAGTAATACTAGTACGTCAGATGAACTTGTTGAAGAAATGGATAAACTTGTACTTAACGAGACCAGGTGGAGCATCTTCTCTCCAGACACTGCAAGTACTACATCATCATCATCTTGTGACGTCACCGATGTTTCTTCTTCATTGGTTGCTAGAAGAAAAAAGCTAAACGAATATTTGGAAGCCTGTAATATTCATCCTTTGAAAAGACCAATGTCAGATTGGAACCAGATATCAGAGCGCACACAAGAACGATACATCCAAAAAACATGTGAAATTGTCTCGTCAGTGTTAAATGATATTTCATCCACTAATGCCCCACATCTTTGGAAAGGGCTTCAAACTTCCGGAAGAATGAACAAAGCATTTGGATTAAGCCATCAGCCAGCAGAAAAAGCTTATTTAGAAGCCTTAGCCGAAGCGTATAAAACCGCAGATAGCTGGGATACTCGGCGCCAAGTCTTATCTACCATGTCCGATGTGGCTAATTTTAATGTCATTTCAGAATATATTCCTGGTCTCACACACTACCGTTTTACTATGGCTAATTTTCATCGACTTCAGTATGGAAGGTGCGTTCCAGTTCCGTTAAAGACATCGCCTCGTCTTCGTATATGTCAGCAACAGCTTGACCATTTTCTGAGCTTTATAACAAGCCCCCATTTAGTGCAAGACTTGCTGTTTGGTGAAAAAGAATTGAAGATGTCCTCAGGTAAAACAATTAAAGTACCGAACATCATCTGTACCATGATACCTCAAAGAATTGTGAACCAATACTCTCAGTACTGCAAAGAAAACAATTTTCAATCTTTCAGTAAGAGCACAATGTTAAGAGTACTAGACGAATGTAGTGCAACCCATCGTAAATCTCTTCAAGGTCTCGACAACTTTGCTGCTCAAGGTGGGCGATCCTTTGATGACTTGGGCACCGTTGTGCTGACTATCTCACCTTTAAAGAAAGATGGCGAAAATTGGGCAGCAGAAATGCAAGAGGCTTTGAAAGTGGGAAAGCTTTATCTAAAAGGAGATTACAAGGTAACAAACCAATTAAACAAGGCAAAATCATTAAATATGTTCTTCGTATTTATATATTTTACAAACCTGGTATGAAATTTATTACATTAATATTAATATTATATCTCAACATAATTTTTCCTGAATGCAGTAGGCACTTTACAGTACAGTACAGTACAGTACAGTACAGTACATTGTCGAGCATTTGTTTTATGTGCCATGTTTTAGTTCTCATTTTTGCGTTCTATTTTAAGGTGCACGTCAGTGACAACGCTCGTGCCCTACCATTGCTATATGTACGCGTTAAGCGACATCACAGATAAAGATTTCAAATACAAGTGCAAACATAAACATGACGAAAGGTGCGAGCAGTGTGAAAGTCTTGACTTAACGCTAAAGAACATAGAACAAGCAATCGACGAGTGCACTTTTTCCTCGGAGGAAGAAAGAGACGAAACCCTGTATCTATTAACATCTGCAGTGAGAGCCATCAACTTGTGGAAAGGCCATCAACTTCGAAGTGTTCGACAAGACGAGAAGACAGTGTACATAGTGAATGACTGGGCAATGAAGTTCCTTCCCCATCAATACCGCGAATCACAGTCAGATTGGTTTGGGAAAAAGGGAATCTCCTGGCATATCTCTGTCGTTTTTCGAAAATCGAATGGCCAATTAGAGTCTCAAGGCTTCATTCATATCATTGAATCTTGTAGCCAGGACAGTGCTGCCATTGTGTTAATCATGCAGCATGTCCTAAAGACCTTGGAAACCGAGAATCCGAAATTGAAGAGAGCATTTTTCCTCCAAGACAATGCCGGATGTTATCACTCAGCCAGCACAATTCTTGCATGCCATCACATCGCCAAGACAACAGGAATAAAGATTTCAAGGATTGATTTCAGCGATCCGAAGGGTCAGCTGACCGTCTTGCCGCTACTTGCAAGTGCCATATCAGATTGTTTGTAAACGAGGGTAACGACGTTACAAATGCTGGAGAAATGAAAAATGCCCTGTTATCACATGGTGGTGTCGAGGGAGTAAGAGTGGCTGTAGTACCGTGCATCGATGATTCTTTCGTCGCTCAGCTAGATAAAATCCCTGGAATAAGTAAACTGAACAACTTTGAGTTCAAAGGAAGAAATATTGTTACATGGCGAGCTTATGATGTTGGAAAAGGAAAAAGAATAAGTTTATCGAAGATCCAAGGTAACCGTGTATGCTTTTCTAACACATTCCCTGGGGTAATGGGTGTGGCAATAGACATGCATGGTGGACACTAAAAAGTATGGGCGAAAAAGTTAGTTTGGGCAAATGTAAAGGTATCATCCGACAAAAATCTATTAAAGCCACTACAATTATCTTTAATTTCGCATTAGTCGTACGACAAATTGCCGTATAAAGTGAGTGCCTTTCATAGAGGGAGAAAATTGTATTATGCAGCCACCGTTAATTTTTAGGGCACCAAAGTCAGAACACATCACTGATCTGTTCGTAGAGTAATTATATTCTATCTTATTGTTGTAGATATAACCTTTAATTGAATCACTGTCGAGTTTTCATCTGGAAATTTTAAACTCGTTAAATCAACAGCCGAAAACACAAAGCGAAACCAGCAATCTGTGACTACTGAATTCGAAAAGGCCGTACAAGAAGAGAAGGCAGAAGATAGTGAATCACCAATCTACTCTTGTCCTCAAGAAGGATGCACTCGTGTTTTCCAGAGATCTTCTGCACTAGAAAAACATCTTTCTTTGGAATCCTGCACCAGCATTCTTGAAAAGCAGACCATGTTGGATGTTGCAAAAGAAAAATATGCATCCCTTTTAAAGGAAGATGTTTGCGCGATTCCATCCATAAGCACTTCTTGCAGCACTGTCGTTGCCGATTCCTATCCTGTTGCCCAGGAGGGGTGGGCACTTAAAGAATCGACAAAAAGTTATCGTTTCAACGAAAAGCAAAAAAGCTACCTAACCTCTAAGTTCAACATCGGCCAAGAGACAGGACGGAAAATGAAAGCGGACGTTGTATCGAAAGAAATGAGGCATGCGCGCGGGGAGGATGGTCACCGGCTATTCGGTGTCACGGAGTTTCTTTCTGTTGAACAAGTTTCCTCATTCTTTTCTCGCATGGCTGCAAAGGTCCGACAGCAAAAGATCACTATAACGGAAGCAGATGCTGCGGCTGCTGTAGAAGAGGATAATTTTCATGAAATGAGAAACAAAGTTTTGTCATCGTTGCAACTACAACACCCTATCGATTTTGATCAATATAATGTATGTGATATGGTGAAAAGTAGTACTCTGAAAAAATTGAAAATGGATATGCTTCAACGCCTATGCGAAGAACTTAACCTCGATGTTCCAGAAAATGTCTGGCAAGAAGAAGAACACAAAATTACCTTACATCAAGCTCCTAGAAAGTGCTGTTTCCGGATGCTCCTGTAACACTGGCTGACTGCTACAGATGAACGAAAACTGTACTGTACATTTCTATAGACTATACCCTTAACCAGTAAGTCACAAATTTAGTTATATTTGCCCAAAACTTGACGAATCAAGTTAGCGCTCCAAACAATGATATAGTTTTAACGTACGATGTCTTAAAGCAAAATAGCGTCGCATTAGTAAAGTTTAAATGTAAAAGAGTTTTACTGTTTAGGGAACACTCATACCGAGGATGTATGTAGATGTTAAGGGGGCACCAAAATATTTTCAGGCATTAAGAAGCGGGGCTCTAAAAGTTCTCTGTATATACAGAAGGGGAGATATAAATATTTCAATGTTTTGGTGAGGCGGGGCATCATCATGATAATTTATCATGACCCTACTAAAAGGTGTGTACATGAGACTCTGAAAACGCTGTTTCTGACTAACCATGGCGTGGCGCCCGCAATGAAGTCACTAACCTAAACAAATTTCTCAACTGCCCTTCTGACTGTGCAAGAAAAGTGTGTCCTTGTCAACTAGTTTAATGCTGAGCATAAAAATACCTCAACTCCTTGGTCCTTGGGTTCTGATTTCTGGGCGGCATTGGAATTTTGAAGTATCCTTTGGGGGGGATCGTCGAAAATATTGCGATAACTCCAACAGGGCCCCGAAAAAATATGCCCCTTTTTGAAGACATCTTCATCCCCCTGGCATAGTAAATAAACAAATTAAAACTGGTTACTAATTAAAATTGGTTTTGTGAATTGCCAATTTTAGTTTCGTTAACAAAATTATAGATTGACTGGTTTAATGTGACGCGTTTGTACTAGCTGGCCTCTATTATCGATTGATCTCAGATAAAATACTCCCTTGCATGAACTTAAAAAACGCATTCATCACTCAGATCTCTAGTGTACTCTTTTAAAGTTTGTCTTAAAAATTAATATCGTTGTTTTCGTTATTCCGCGTTCTTTTGTTAATGAAATGCGACAAAACTGTCACTGTAATTACCGTTGTAATGTACAAACGTGTTGTCAGGCAAAATCTAAAAATAGCATCAACATTTTGACTTCTCACTGGTGCGGGTTTTGCTTGCCGCCAGAGATTTTTTAATATGCTATAAACAGATGGCTACTTTGCAAGTTAGTCTTATTTTCGTTGCAATTTGTCATGTACCACGGTCCATTTGAACACATTGAAATTGACAAAAATTTGCCTTTCTGTTGTGAACCGTAAACACCAAATATTAGCTAGCTTTAAATGTCAAGAAAGATTTTGGAATAAAAAAAGATTTTGCTGCTAAGACAAATTATAGAGATGGTCTTAGATTATACTAAAAAATGGTCGTAATATGTTTGAAGGGTAGCCGTCACGAACGCTTTAAAATCCTGTATTTTGACTGATGAAAATTGACTTAAAGTCCCAAAATCATGTTTAGGTAATTTCACGAAAAATAAGAGGAGCTGCGACTTTTGAACTATATTTTTCAAAATAGCTCACTCAGTGGATACCATGGGTAAAATAAAAGGAATTTCGAATTTTCCAATTTGTCGCCCAATTCTCGAGATTTACGGACACTCACTCTTAAGGTAGTTTAAGAATACCATAATTTTTTTTCAGTTCAATGGTTTGTTATTTTTTTATGGTGTACTTAGCCAATTTTGTACTCAATTTTTTAACAGCCAGCTGCAAGAAGAAATGTGAAGTGTGTGGTTTTTTAAACCACATTCGTAGAAATGATTGCTCAAACTGCAGTTGTTCTTTTCCAAAACGGAAAGTAAAGGAGATTGTTCGAAACAAGCAGCCAGCCTCAAAAACGAAAGAAAGAATGCTGTCATATGTAAGGGATCGGATTTTAACCCATTAAGGGACAAGGGCACATCAGAGCTCTTCATCAAGGTGAATAAAATCATTTGGTATTGTCAAAAACAAATAAGAAGTGTGCCCTGGCCTTTTAATGGCTTAAAAATATTAATATTGTATAGTATCTAAAAAGTCTCTGTTTCTTCCAAATTGAACTCCTATTTCTAACCATGCTATTATCTATACTTGTACTAAAACAATTCAACAACTCGCCATTGTTTTCTATGAGCCAGGGGTGTAGTACCAGTGAGCACTTTCCCCCATCTTGGAAGATTTGCGTTCTTTCTAATTCCAATATCTTTTTTCCTTTCTTCCTCCTTTCCAATTATTCTCTGAGTACTCAAACTTGAGTCTTGAGAACATTCTCTAGGTCAAAAATAACTTAAGTATATGACATGTTCGACTTCAAGTCATGTTCAATATAATACAAAAGTGTACTGGCATTTTTTCATTTTGTACTGACGATTTGAAGTTGAAAACACTAATTTTATTTATTTTAACTTTACCTAGCCTGTAATGAACATTCAAGATTTTAAAACTGCTTCTATTATTTAAAATGTAGGCGAAGCAGCTTCACCTAAAAGGTTATGACGTGGTCATCATGACCAGGCGAAACAACAGGTCGACGTATGGCTGTACATGGGTGTGGGGTACTGAAGGAACTGGAGCTGCATTTGCAGAGACAAAAATTTTCTCTTTGGCAGCAACTGGGTTTGGTAATTTTGTTATGCACACATCCGCTTCACAGACACAAACAGTCAGTTCATCTTCTTCTATTCAAACATATTCTCCCTGCACAACGTCAGCTGTTAGTTGTGTCGTTGACCCATCTAATTGTAATCTTATACGAGAAACAATTTCAGCAGGATCAACATACGCTCTCTCATCGGTTTCTACTCACCTGCCGCTTCCTAACATACCGTCCCAAGCTGGATTGTCATTGTCTGCGCAGGTACAAGATATATCAGCCTCGTCAACTATAAATTGTCCCAGCACAACGTCAGGCCTGCATAATATAGGGTAAAACTTAAAAGTCTCAAAAGAAAAAAAGTAAAGAGAAAGAAAGGAAGAAAATGAGAAAAAATGACATAATTGAATAATAAAGCTGTAGGTAGTGAACTAGTGATGTTTGCAACATGCAAGTAATACAAGTTTCCAATATACCGGTACAGGTGGCTCTCCAGCAGCCTGATACTATGGTCAAAGACAGGCAGACAGCAGTCTAGCAGATATTAAGATGAAATCCTCTATGCAGTTATAATTGATTTCATCTAGTGTATTAGCTACTTCTGAAAATACCACTCCAGTTATATATGAATACAACTCATTTAACAACTACAGTATGTGGATTAAAAAGTCTATGAGTGTGGTGATTTCTTACAATGTAGTAAAAAATCTAAGCAATATGGTCCAATACGCAAGAGCCTTCCGCCCTTCTCATGAACTTTCATCCATTAAATTAAGATGATATTCATACCAAATATATTAAAATTATAAGAATCTAGAATCTTAAACTGCAGACAGTTTCCATTGGGCACTTTCATCATTCATTAAAATGTAAATGTTTGCTGTTAAATTAAAATATAAAGAATATTTATTCCGTAGCCATGTTGAAATACGTCTACCCTGCTGGCAGTGGTTTCGGAGCTGAGGAAAAACCACTGCGAACAAACAAATGACTTTCTATCGAGCATGCAACAAAGATCACAGGGTGGGACGACATTAATTTGACTTCATTTGCTGTAGTTTGACTTCATTTGCTGTAGTTTGACAGTTGTTATCTGTATGTAAACAAACGTGGCATAGTACTGTTTACTTTGTTATCTGTCTGACTTTTTATTCTACATGCAGTTCACAATTTACTTCTAAAAGATTTTGAAATCAGTGCCTCACCCTACGGCTACAAATTGTGCATTTGAATTTCTGTTATATCTTTTTCAATTTTTGTATTTATCTGATCAATATCAATTTTTTTAATTCAGTCTGCAAACTTTATTTGTGTTAAGGTTTTCGATAAATTCTAATTTCCAAAGTTTCCAAATAATATAATAATATAATAAGGTTTCCAATTACTGTTGATTTTGACAATATTGCAATCTTTGATCGTCGCAACCTCAACCGCTACAAATTTCAACTGATGAAAGATTGTCACGACGGCGCTACTATTTCTGTTAAAGGTGTTGATTTTTGTTGCAGTGTGTGAATTTATAGTTACTCTGTTGAACTGTATAGGCGGTTTTCAAGTAATCTTAATGTATAATTTCAAACATTTTATTCAATATTTTGTAATTCAATATTTTGTAAAAGGTAGTACATTTATGGCTTGTTACTATATTTAGAGCGTGATCGTGTTGTTTTAGTGCAACTGGCTCGCATTTTACCAGCAGTGCCAAGCAGCTACCCATGCAAACAATAACAAAAACTTGTCAAACTTGTTCTACTGGTTTCTCATTTAATGTATTCGTCCATGAATCTGGACGGTGGCTACAATTAAACGATCATTCGTTTGCTCGCAGTGGTTTCAGCTCAGCTAGAAACCACTGGTAGCACGGTAAAATACGTCTATTTTGGTTTCAAATCTAATGAAATGGTGCATAGAATACACTGAACCTTGTTTAGTGATGATCAACTTTAAACAAGGATTCACAGTGTTTGCGTGCAGAAAATCTGTTCATTGGCTTTGTGGTCCCAGAAAATAAAATATTTTATGCAGCCCTGCACAACGTCAGTAAGTGGCTTTGTTGTTGATCCACCATGTGCTATTACACTACAAACAACTTCTACAACACAAACTGACGGTCCTTCACCTGCTTCCACCCAAAGATCGCACCCCAACGTAACGTCACAGGCCGGACCTTCCACCAAGTCATCATTGCCTGCAGGGAATTCCAGTTCCAACATCAAGTCATCCTCATGCTCAGCCAAATGTGTTGTCTGATACTGCAAATTTTCAAGGTTAGTGCTTTAATTAATATACATTTATTAATATATAATCTTTGTTCACTGTTCAAAATGCACGCACATCATTGGTAAAAATCGATCACGTGTGTTTTTGTTACCTGGCAACAACGAATCCTGCAAATAAAAAAATTGCATTATTGAAAATGGTTTGCTCGAGTCGATGAGGAAGAAATTAATCAGATTATAGAGGATGCAATACCTAAAAGTACGAAAAGACGGAGCATTAAGCTGGAGCATTGCTATCTTCAAAGGTCAGTAAACCAAGCAAAAACTATATTATTCACCATTTTTCCGTGTGTAAACAAGTGCTTGAAAAGTTGCATGCAAGCAGTGAACTCAGATTATATATTAAATTGGTTAGAGACTGTAAAGTTCGTGTTTTGTTTACAAATATACGCTCTTGCTGATCGTACAATGAATTCGAAATTTTCAATACTGCACTAGGCTTTGCCTTGTGCACTAGGCTTCGCCTTGTGCAGTATTGAAATTTCTCGTTCATTGTACGATCAGCATGTGCGTATATTTGTAAACAAAACACCCACAGCAGTCTCTAACCTTTAATAAAACATAGTTACTACAAATCCCTTTTTTCTTTAATGACCTGTGAATAGCTACAATCTTGGACAAAACCCTTGAGACCATTTCAGCTAATATTGCAAAGTTATTGAACATTATTGGCAAAACAAACTTTGTCCCCCCCTCCCCCCCAGTTCAATGTTGTGAACAACGCCAGAACAACTTTTGGTAATATACCATGATACAAGCTCAACATTGAGTTGGGGGAGCGGGGGTTTAAGAATGGCAACATAATTCAACATGGAGTTTATCATAAAAATACGCGAATTTTCTACGGGGGAAAAATAGTCTCAACCAGTTATGTCCAAGATTGTAGCTTTGTAGCAAGCTTTTAGCATGTCGTTTTCAAGTAGTCATATGTCAGTTAATTGCTAGTTAATGCGGAAAAGTGAAGTTACATTCATCAAATTACATTCGGGCAGGCCCGTAAAACCCTGATGGTGAAATCTGTTTAAGATTTATGCACAGTCATTAAGTCTAGGTAGGTAAGTAAAACTTTATTTAACTACGCTAACCCCTGCAGCAAGAGCTGATTTCGAAGAGGGGCGTAGTTATGAATTTTAACCAACTACATTACAAATTGACAAATACAGTCATTACTCTTACAGTAATTATAATTACAATTACGGTCATTACAATTACAATCATCACAATGAGCTTAAAACGTGGTATAAATAAATAGTAAAACAATTAAAATATGAATATCGTGCATGGATATTATTTTATTAATTGCCCAGGTGTCATAATAGTTGTAAGTAAAGCGTAGATAGATATCTTATACAGCTATTTCAATTAAGGTTGTTCATGAGCAAAGCGGAAAAGTCGAATACGAGCGCGAATAGCTGCTGGGAGTCGCTTTGAAAATTCATTAATTTGTTAGCGATTCCCAGCAGCCTTTCGCACTCGTATTCGATTTTTCCGCTTTGCTCGTGGACAACCTTAATTGAAATAGCTGTATACACTAGATAGCGTATCTCTTTTAGTAAAATTGAAGCCAAGAATATTCCAGCGGTTACCCCCATTTGAATAGATGGCAGCCATGTTGGTGTCTCCCATTCCTTAATAAATGCTTTAAAAAACAACAATAACTTTGATCATTTGAATAGTTTGAAAATGTATTTGGAATTAGATTTAACTTAATGTTTTAAGTTCCCTGTTTAAGAAATAGAAAACATACCATTCTTCTCATTTCATAGGAATATCCCGAGTCTGCAAACACGGCTTCAATTTTTGAATTGCAGAATAATAGACCTTTCCAAGGTTAACGACGCCATAATGAAACACAATAGTGCAAGGGGTGCAAACACAATGGAATTCCCTATAGGTAAATTTGCAGGGGGTGCAAACACAATGGTGAAAACAATGGATTCAAGATGGCATTGTTAACCTTGGAAAGGTCTATTAGATGCACTATCTAGTGTATATAAGATATCTATGAAGTAAAGGCAGTGAGAGATCTCTTATTCCTTAATTCGTCTGGAAGGCAATTCCACAATTTTGTCAAGATATTCAGTCTTAGGATTGGGCAAGTGGAATTTAGTGGAGGAGCCTTGTAAGTTATAATGCCTAGAGTAACAAGTCTTTTGAAAGATGTCAGTCCATAGCCTATCGAAGGGAAGATGGCTGTGAAACTCATTAGAATAACAATATAACTCATCTTTGTTAGTCAACGTTGATTCATAACTCTGGTTCTTCACCGTCACGTGTGTATTGTATTTTTGCCCAACTAACCAATAGCAATGTTTTAGGAAAGTTACCTATCTGTGACTCGAACAATTGCGAAACTGGAAATTGCTATTGGTGGATTTGGCAAAAATGTAATACACACATGATGGTGAAGGACCAGATTTATGAATAAACGTTGACTAACATAGATAATGAGTTATATGGTTATTCTAATGAGTTTCACTTTTGCCATCTTCCCTTTGATAGGCTATGGTTAGTCGTTTTGGCGGTAGATCATGAGTTATTTTGTACATTAGACTTGCTACAAACTAGAGTGTTCACTCTAGTATTTTACGTAATAAACAAACATACATTACAAAATAACGTACATTTCAAAATCATCTGTTTTCCGTGTATCATTTTTTCAAAATTTCGACCAAATGAATATAAATCTTGCATTAAACGAAGTTACTTGAGAAAAATTGGAGATGTACATAACAAAAATAAATTAATAGGAGTGAGAACATATGAAACATTTATTATTTCCAGGCGACAAGATATGCAGTCAGCACCTAGTCCCTGCGCGTTTGAAAACCATTTCCATCTATGTTGGTCTAAATGAACAACTGCTTTGTATAAATACTCAACTGTGTTTACAAACGTGTGTTAACTGCATGGATACCATACAATCTCGGATATCTAAATCGTGGCGTAAAATTCTTATTGATCGAATTATATTATCAATCACAAATGCAAATTCCAAAGTGTGTTATTCGCTTATTTGGATATCGGATTACTGACGCAGTATTTGGATATCGGACCACTTGATCAGTTTCCTTTGAAATCGTGAAGAAAGTAGTGTTAATGTCATGTGATTGTCTTTTCTGCATCACTTCATCCCAAATGGATGAAGATTTAAAATTGTATGACGTCCATGCTGGCTCTACTTTTTTCTTTGTGGAGGCTTTGTTCTCTGTGCCTTCTCTATGTTGAAAGGTCTATAGTTCCTCTCATGCTTAAATTAGATAGAAAAACTCACGTAAAACATTACTTTTTTAAATGTTGTTTTATTTTTTAATATTGAAAAATACAGCTAACATGACAGTCCCTGTTATGTTCTAAACAAAACTTAAGTGTTTTTCTTGGTAAAGGCCTGATTCCACACGCGCTTTTTCTCGGCGGAATGTGAAATATTTCGCATGTTTCTTTTGAATTGTGAGGAATCAAGTAGAAATAATTTATTTGAGTGGTCGCAATTCAAAAGAAACAGGCGAAATAATTTGCCTTTCGCCGACAAAAAGTGCCCGTGGATTCAGGCCTTAATGCTTTCTTAATGCTGTCCTTTCATAACGCCAACTTTTGCCGTTTTCAGTATGCGTTTTAAACTTTTTGACTGTACTCAGCTCGCGATTATTTCTGTGTTCTCAAGGATTTCTTTCATTTCGGCACTGTTTGAAAGAACAAATGATTTATTTGACTTTGCCGAAAATAAATAACTGTTAACCCAAGGGTTATGTTGTAAACATACAGCGGCAGGATCCTATTGTAGTTAGCCTGTGAGCAGGCTCTCTGGGTGAAAGAGAGCCTGCAAGATCCCTATGATATTTACGTGCATGCATCGAATATTTGGATGCAGAGCTCTGATTGGTTGATAACTAATTCAAATGAAGTGACAAGCTTCCATAAACTACACTTCACATTTGTAAAACAAAGCTTTGGAATTGCGGCAATGTAGAGATAAAAGTGTCGTGTATTTTGTATCCTTGTTGACTTTTTACAGTAAAATAATATAGTATTCATATAAAGACGAATACTAAAAGCTTGCATGCTTTATTGTATCCTGGGCTTGTCTGACTTCTAGGCTAAGAAAAGACTGAACAAATTCGCAGACCAAAACCTAGGGACAAGGCATTTATATATCGCCTCTCTTTCATGAAACAATATTGAGAATTATTCTGATAATATTCAGTGCATATTGTTTGTGTTAAGCTTGTTTTAAAATGTTATACTGACTATTTAATATTTATAAGTATGCGGCGTTAAAATGTACAGTAAGTTACTTGTCACTTTGTTTACAATAATTATCACATACATGTTTAATACTGTAATTCCACCTTTTGTTGCAAAATTTGAACTATAAACATATTAAATTATGTCCAATGTCCATGGTATATATTATACTGTACTGGATATATATATATATATATATTTATTGCAGTTATATTATTACTATACTGTATATATATATATATATATATATATATATATATATATATATATATATATATATTCACATGCGAAGAAAACATGCTTGTACAACTCGGGCAAGCACTGGGGAAAGAAATTGTCATCAAATCTATTTGATGTCACTATGGGTAGCTTTGACGGTGCCAAATCTTGTGAATTGGTTGGATCTTTTCTACTACACCTTATTACAATGAAGTACGGTAATAAGTTTGGTTTATATAGAGACGACGGCTTGGGCATTATCAAAGCAACACCGCGCCAAATAGAACTAATTAAGAAGGATCTGTGCACTTTGTTCAACAACCATGGTCTGAAAATTACTATCGAAGCGAACAAAAAGATTGTGAATTTCCTTGACGTCACACTGAATCTATCCACTGGTAAATATCATCCATATTCTAAGCCTAACAACACACCTCTTTATGTGCATAGCAAATCTAACCACCCACCTAGTGTTCTGCGTAATATTCCATTATCCATTAACAAACGACTAACCGAGATATCCTCTAATCAAAATTCAATCGAACAAGCCTCCCCGCCATATCAACAAGCCCTTGACAAAAGTGGATACAACCACAAGCTACAGTTTAAACACCCCCTAAACCTAACGACTAATAACAAAACCCGAAGCTGTAAAAGAAAAATTTTGGTATAATGCACCATATAGTAAGAATGTTTCGACTAATGTTGGCCAGACTTTCTTGAAGATAATTGACGAGGAATTTCCTGCAGATCACCCATTACACAAAATATTCAACCGTAATACAGTCAAGATCAGCTACAGCTGTATGCCAAACATTAAGCAGACTATCGATGGACACAACAAATCCACGCTGTCTACAGCTTTCAGCACGAATAGTTCCAACATGTGCAGTTGCCCTAAAAACAATAAAGAAACTGTGCCCACTGTCTAATAAATGTATCACCGAATCGGTTGTATATCAAGCCACAGTCACTACTAAGGACAAAACTACCAATAGACCTCCCCAAACATATGTCGGCCTTACTGAAAACTCGTTCAAAACAAGACTTGCGAACCATAAAGCATCATTTAACTCTTTTGACAAACGGAACGCTACTGAACTTAGCAAATACGTGTGGGAATTGAAAAATCGAAACATCCATTATACAATCAAATGGAAACTATTGAAACGAGCTAAGCCTTATAACTGTGCTTCAAATAGATGTAATTTGTGTTTATGGGAGAAATACTTTATTATTTGTAAGCCCAAAATGGCCACTTTAAACAAACGTAATGAGTTAGTATCAGCATGTAGGCATAATAAAAAATCCTTTTAAGTAACATTTAAAAGCTAGACATTTAAATATACCGTGGTGTGTTAATCTTTCCACGTCCTGTCAGCTTATCATATAACATGTTTATTAAATTGCGTGCTTTGTAATGTCTCATCCACTTGTTTCATGTCTCATCCACTTGTACATATAACCTTGTAAGTTTTAGTCTATAGTCATTAGGTCAATTTATCTGAAGAGTGCCACATACTGTGGTACAAAACTATTTAGTAATAAAGATGCCTAGTGGATTTTGTTGATTTGTTGTACCTTATATATATATATATATTTATTGCAGCATGAAGCAATTCCAAACAACTGAATTAGTTAGCGGGTAATATACAACTTTAAACTTACTGTGCCTACAGAAACACATGCAGATTGTAATAAAAAGTACAACTTGATATATTACACTGTAAAATCTCAAGCTGTTTTAACTTTTTTAGTATGCCCCAGTGTGGGTCTGTATACGAAACTAATATAACTTTATACGTCGAATTTCGGTCGCGTCGAATGCAATTCAAATAGATAATGAAGCTTAGGGAGGTTTATTATCTCATCTATTGTTTTAATTGCATTCGACGCGACCAAAATTTGACGTATAAAATGGGCTTTAATTCATCAACACTAAGTTTTTAAAATTTGTTAATCCCTTGCATATCATCCGGGTGACTTTGTTCATGATGAAGACGTTTATCTCGAACTTAATAACTCCATTGTTTTAATTTTAATCAATTTTAAAACACCACTTCGCAAATGCAAACAACTGTGGCTGGAAACGTAATGTTTGCATGAACGTATTCTCATGTTGCATCAGAGATTGCGAGAAAAATTCATTCATGTGACATCACCTTCAGGTTGGTTTGATTCCAACCCACAGATTAGCATATACGTGCAAGTAAATTAATTGGACTACTGTAAAGGTTTCATTTGATCCGTTCATGATCAACATAGTTTCTTCGTCTATTTCTATGGAAAGATTTCTTATTATTAGATTACATATATCAGGCACATAAATTCCAAACAAATGAGAATGATTACACATTTTCAGTACGCTTCATGCTTGCAAACGAATAGGCTTGCTGAACAGTAGTGTATGGATGAGTCTGATTTTGGATCACACTACATCTAACATGTTACTTTTGCATTTGGGTATTTTTGTATTTAATTGAGGTCAGGTCGGTCGTTCGAGCATTAGTGACCCCTTTCTTTACACAACATTAAGTAAACAACAATAGGTCTAATTAATGATTGAAACTCTCTTTCATTTCACTAAATGATATGTCCAACAAGAAGTGAGTCCAATGGGACTGAATAGCACATTGCGCTCAGCAAATCCTATTGTAACACCATGCGTGTTAGCCTCGTCTTGGTGTTAAGTTAAAGTAAAAACGCATTTGTCGAATCTGAATCCCTCATACCAAAATTGATCAGTGATTATCGCTGGATCCCGAAATCAGATATATTTGTTTTGAACATCAACCGCTTGCCAACCAACCCCAGAAAATGACTCGGACCTAGAAAGGTAACCTGCGACCAGGCCTATAAATAAATAAATAGGCCTAATACAAACCTTACCAAAAGTCTATGGCTTACAACCGCATTTCGGTTGTAAATCTGATTGGTCTATGAGACAAAGAATTTTTTCATCTGTCATTTGATGGGTTGGTGCAGCTAATTAGATCAGTACTATTGTTGATGA